AAAATATAAGTCTATAAATTCAAAATTTTCTAAATTTTTACTTAATAACATGTTTTTTTGTTTTTAGTTATTTGAATATGTCACAAATGAAAATGTGGTAAAAAGGTTTCAATTGTTAAATGAGCGTCTGAGTGGTTTTGTAAGATGTTTTAAAGTTTTACATGACAATTTTATGTCTTTTATAATTTAGTATTTGATAGTTTTTTACTATATTTTTGCCCCCATTGAACAAATTTTCTAGATTCGCCCCTGTTATCCATATACCGCATTATAGTGTACACAATCAGTCATTTAATCAATTCTCCAAAACGTTAATTTAATCAACTAATGAAATTTGGTCAACTGTACAAACACGTGGCCTTCTCGTTGTGGCAAATGATACAAGCGCAAGCAAAACCCTAGCTAGATATTCAACATGTTATAGGCTGATATAGCATTAACACCTACCTAATCCTTCAACCTTATTTGTATTTTCTTAATCTAATTAACTGATTTTGTTATTGGTTCAACGTCATAATTTTTGCACTTTGTAACGACTTCATTTGTCGCTAGACCCGACAGATTCTTTCAACCTCAAAGGCGGAGACATAATCCTAATATTACGGATCGTTTAATGTTATTAATCTCCCTTTAAAAAAATGGTTTACAAGATTTATAGTTTATGTGGATGTTCCTAATAATTTGAGATCCATAACCATAAGAAGAATGATACTAAGATATAATTAAATGATGCTTTACATTAGATTTAGTACTCCGTGGCTATATGTAGTTTAAAAAATATTTGATTTGAGAGTGATACGACTATTCCTCTCACTACCAATTAATTAAAGTATTCACGAATCTATTGTTATTCGCAATTATTTGAAGGTTTGAGCAATAATTAAATTGAGCTTATATACATATTATTGCAGTGTGTTATACTTTTATATTTGTTATATGTTTTCTTTGTGGGGAATATACGAATGGCAACGTAATTTTAATTTGTATTTTTATTAACTATTACATTTCTTGTAGTGATTAACTATTACATTTCTTGGAGTATATCATAGTGGTCAAGGTAGAGCCGTAGAGGAGCTAGTTTGCATATCTCTGTGAACTAATATTTTCAGAAATCAAAATTTGTATAAGTGAGGTAAGACAATAACACAATTTAAGCAAACAAGTATTAAATAAATAAAAATTACGAATTGGACTTTAATTATCAAAACTAAATAACACGAGTCGAATAACTAGTGGTTAATAGAAGCGGCCAATGGTCCTCACTCCTCACGTCATGGCATGCAAACGTATCAATCCTTTGTTAACTTACTATACCTTTATAAAGCACGTGAGCTTCTTTTTTCTAAAACTGAGCTGGCTTCTCTTTAATTAAGCTCATGTAACATATACAATTAGGTTATAAAAAGTAATCCATGGTAATTATATATATTGTACATCTGCGTACCCAATTTTGAATAGACGTCTAGACATGAATATCTTAGTTAAAATTAAAATTCAATAATTGCAATCATGTTATGTAATATAGTGTGTATATATAAATCTTGCAAAAGCTAATATGTACAAAATATTGGTCTTCATTATTTGGGAAACAGAAAGCAACAGCTACGTATATAATTTATGCGAGTATACAATATCTACAAATTAAAATAAACATACAAACAGAGTCACGAATATATTGGTGGATAATATTTTTTTGTTGTCTATATAAAATAAAATTATCATAATCTCTTCACAATTAATGTTTTACGATAAATTTCGGCAAATACCAAACTCCATTATTGCTATACGAATTAAATGCGCTCCCCTTTTTTTCCTATAATGTGCTACGTGCATATATATACATAAAGAATATTTGACTTTAATAAATTTTGCCTCGGATGCACAATCCAATCGAAATGGTTGGTCTATTATTTCGTTTTTTTTTCTCTTCGTATTGAACATTTTTTTTTTAAAGTAAGTGAACCGTTTCAATTTTTTCATTATCTCAAATCAGTGATAGAAAAACTTTATCAAATTGAAATGAAAATCAATACGACTATCCGACAACAACGACCACTCATGTTTCCGAACTAATAATATTCGGTGTAATTTAAAGGACGAAACCCTAGTTCTAGGAGTATTTAAATTTAGTTATCCAAATTACTATTTATAGTATTTTTCTGGAAAATGAAAAAAAAATAGTTTCAAAGGATAAATTAAGATTACTATATAGGAGTTGAAATTAAAAAGGAGAAACGATGACGTGGCGTATTCATGTTGGCGACAGCTAATGTGATCATGAAAACCTTTCCCCCCCCCCCCCCCCCCCCCCACAAAGCTTGGAGAGCGACGCTCTTTCCTCCATACTCACTCATCCCTTTGATTAATTGTGTTATTTCATTATTATCACGATATATATATGGTGAGTGACTATATGATTATATCGATTTGATACTTCATTTAGTTAATCAAGACACTAATCTGCTAACAACGGTGAGTCTACTTAGAATTGTATGTGAAAGTTTTATACCATTACATTAATATATAAGTATGTGTAAGCTAAAACCTAATGAAAGAATTAAAACTAAATAATTATTTGACATCTTGGATTGGTTTTTGATGAAAATTACACACTCTTATGTAATCTCGAATAAGGGTACGTATATGGAATCTCATATGCTCAAGACTAGGTATCATCGTAATAGGTTTACATATGGTATTTCGTGGATGTTACGTTAACCATTCTAAAGATGATTTATGGTACTTAATTATTGGTTAGAAGAAATAAAATATATATTCAGCTCTTTTTATTTTCTTAGGTTGATTGACTGATATCATATGTTTCACGATCATGATGATCAATCAGACTAACAAAACTGCAAAATTTCAACGTTACAGCTGCTTTATAAAAGAGTAATCAATTAAGTTCTAATATATATATAAAGCTTATTAAGACACTTTTACAATACTTTAAAGACACTGTTGATCACACTCTTTTCCAGCAAATTAAGATTTCGTAAGTCCTTTATCAAAAAGGAAACGAAAAAATGGTTTAGTAAGTCAATCATTATTGAGGAAAACAAATGATAGTTTTAGTCTTGAGGAATAATATTTCACCTTTTTTGTTCTTGTAATTAAAACCGACCAAAGGATTCGATTCCTGTTTAACATATGACATTTGCAATTTATAATATTTTACATTTACTTTCATTAATTTTCAATCTTAACGATCCTCTGGACCTTATATATAAATGTAAACGCAAAAAGGGCAAACGAATATTTTTGTTCCAGTATACTGTATGTGATTTGCAAACGGAGTAGTATTTAATTTGTAAATTAAACACGTACGATTATAGTTGATGTTGAGCTCAATTTTAAAGTTCAATAACATGTTAGTATAAAAACAAATTCAAAACTCAAAACAAAATCATCCAGTTGAGAAAAAAAAAAAAAAAAAGACTTAATAGAAAACAGATAAAAGCATTATTTATGGTTTTTATTTGTTTGGGGAAAAAACGAATATTTTTGTTATACTATATGTGATTTGCAAACGGAGTAGTATTTTGTTAACCACGCACGATTATAGTTGATGTTGAGCTCAATTTTGAAGTTAAATAACATTACTTCAAAAATCAAAGAAAATCATCCAGCTGAGAGAAAAAAAAAAAAAAAAGACTCTTTAGAAAACAGATAAAAGCATATAGTAGTATAAACGCAAAATTTATGGTTTTTATTAGTTTGGGGAAAAAACGAAGGGACACGTATACCAATAGAGAAACAGAGGACGGCACCGAACGATTTTGACTTCCCATCTTGTTCGATCCCTATATATACTTTGTACTTCCCCTTACGGACCCTACGACCTTTTTGTTTCTCTCTTCTCTCTCTATTCATATCCTTTAACTTCCCTCAAACTCTCTCATTTATTACTAAACCAGTTGACTATTCTTTTTCCTTATAAACAATCATCATCAATATCAATGGCAAGGTCACCTTGTTGCGAGAAGAACGGGCTCAAGAAAGGGCCATGGACTTCCGAAGAAGACCAGAAGCTTGTTGACTATATCCAGAAACATGGTTATGGTAACTGGCGAACCCTCCCCAAAAATGCTGGTTCGTGTCTTACCTTTGCATTTTAATCATGTTTTTTAGTTACGGAGTGTTCGAAATTTTTCAAAATTTTAACTCATTTTGTTCTAATCTCTTCACCAGGTTTACAAAGGTGTGGCAAGAGTTGTCGGTTAAGGTGGACTAACTATCTCCGACCAGATATAAAACGAGGACGGTTCTCTTTTGAGGAAGAAGAAACCATTATTCAGCTTCATAGCTTCTTAGGAAACAAGTGAGGCTTTTTGTCTCTTTTTTTTTCTTCCGACAATATCTTCTTTGAACTAGTTCAAGATTCTTACGTGTTTGGTTTATCTATGATCTATAGGTGGTCTGCTATTGCGGCACGCTTGCCTGGAAGAACAGATAACGAGATCAAGAACTTTTGGAACACTCATATAAGAAAGAAGCTACTTAGAATGGGGATCGATCCAGTGACTCACAGTCCACGACTTGATCTCCTCGATATCTCATCCATCTTAGCTTCATCTCTATACAATTCATCATCATCACATCATATGAACATGTCAGGACTCATGATGGATACTCATCGTCGTCATCAGCACCAAAATCCATTGGTTAACCCCGAGATACTCAAGCTCGCCACCTCTCTCTTCTCTCAAAACCAAAACCATAATCAAAACCTTGTGGTGGATCATGACTCGAGAACTCAAGGGAAGCAACCAGTTTATCATCAACATGATGTTAACCAAGCCGGAGTAAACCAATACCAAACTGACCAGTATTTTGAGAACACAATTACTCAAGAACTCCAATCTTCCATGCCGCCATTCCCAAATGAAGCTCATCAGTTTGACCACATGGATCATCACTTCAATGGTTTTGGAGAGCAAACTCTAGCTTCAACTTCGACTACGTCGGTCCAAGATTGCAATAACCTATCGACGTTCAACGATTATTCAAGTTCTAATTATGTCTTAGATCCGGATCAGAGCTTCAACTTCGCTAACTCGGTATTGAACACGCCATCCTCGAGCCCGAGCCCGACTACGTTAAACTCGAGTTACATCAATAGTAGCAGTTGCAGCACTGAGGATGAAATAGAAAGCTATTGCAGTAATCTCATGAAGTTTGATATTCCAGATTTCTTGGACGTTAATGGTTTTATTATATAGTTCCAAGAAAAGTTAAAAACTCGAGTGGGATATAGTGTTTTTTTTTTTTTTTTTTGGTTGTAATTTTAAGACTTGTTCCTTTGTTTTTTTTTCCAATTTCTTTGCATGTAAAATAGTGTGTTCTTCTTCTTGTTTGCTACTCATTTATCTATAGATTATAGCTAATACCATTTTTTCCCAAAAATCATTGAGTTTCCATGATTGATATCCACTTTTGAATAAAATAGTTATATTTGGCCGGCTTTACTTCAACATATGCATAGTCTCCTTGTCAATATTAAATTTGACTCAATAATATGAGGTGATGAAATTGATATGTATAATTGATATGAGGTACAGAAATTTCCTGATATAGACATAAAAATTTTATATTTTAAAATACATCATTGACTAATGCCATGTTTCCCAAAAGGTATTAATGAAAACGTATGAGCCAACCCAATAAAGTCCAAATGATTCACCATAAACTTTGTATAACTTATAAAAAACAAATCGTGGTCATAAGGTCCCCCACATGCATTTCCAGCAAGATCTCAAGTAACTTTTTTAATTAGCTAAAAAACTATATAATTTTATATCGTCTCAACTACTTACAATAATAATACAATTACACAAGAAACAAAGGCTGCTATATATCATCATAAAACTTTCATCGATCCATGTTTTGTAAATTTTGAAAGAAGATCGATAAAAATCATATATGTTTGACAACAATCTTGAGTTTTCGTTCATAAAATCTTATAGCCAATATAATTAACTAAATCAAATATAACTAAGTCAAATATTCCTTTATAAGAAACAAAAGACACACTCTGAATAGCTAAGCTTAGCATATATCGTACTATACAAAGAGAGAACCCATCTTATAAAAATCACAAAAGTGAAGAAGACCGATCCTATCGATGACCGGGACCGGAGAGAGGAGCCAGCCGGAGCGTGAGGGACACGTGTTCATCATCTTTACGTGCAGAAGTGAAGGAGTTAACACAACTTTTGTTGTTTCATGGGATCGATTTATGAAAAAGGTACCCTAATGGGTATGGCGACACATGTCTTCGTAATGTCAATTACTTGGCTTAAGCCAAAAAGAGGAAATGGCCTCCTTATTATTGAAATCACGGCGTATGATTTTTTTTTTTTTGGTGTGTGAAGGCTTTAGAGTATACACGTGTAGGTGTCACGAACCATTTAAGATTAGAGAACACGTGGAACTCAATAATAGATTTGTGGACCTCACGATGAGCTGTGTATTGTGTTATTTCTTGACTGCTCCATTGGACACAAGTACATTGATCACAGTTTGCTTCTTCTTTTTTTTTTTTTTTTTTTTTTTTTTTTTTTTTATGTATGGAAAATTATATAAATAAATACTACTTTTCGGAACGATTAAATGCTGTGAGTTTGACATGAGATTTTTTTTCTTCTCATACTATTATGAGTTATACATTTATTGATTGATAGATGTCAACTATTTATATTTTGCTGTATTATAGACACGACTTTTTTGGCGGTTCGTCTTCTGGAGACCCTAATGATTTTTCTCTCACACTTTATAAGATAAAGTCTTATGTTTCTTTTGTTGTTGTGTAAAATGAACATAATTTAATCCAAGAACTTTGTAAAATGTTTTGTTAATAAACTTTATTAGATAAGCATCATGTATATATGTATCTATAAACAAATGTTTTCTGTTATATTCTGGACAAGTTCAAATAGCTTAGAAATCGATTTATTAACTGTTTCTCGTTTTAGAGGTAAAAATTGTTCCCTATCCTCTTTGTATCTTCGAACAGAAATAATATTGTGTCGTTAAAAAAAGTTTCAAAATAATGAGTTGGGAGAAAAAAATCGCAATCCATTATTGCCTTCAAACAAATAAAGAATCAGATAAAGTCTCATAAAATGTACAAAAAAGACTTTGGGCGGTTGCGTATATGATGAATATTGGACCAAAGCAAAAAGGTGAAATTTGTTTTACATGCTCTCGTTAGTGTTCGTTGGATGTGTGTGTCTCCATGTTCTTGACAAACAATAAAGCGTGTTTTTTCTTGCATACACTTCGTGTTGTGTTTCGATATAGCCACTTGATCACAAGAAAACAAAACCTTGTAAGTCAAAGTTTGGAGGTTCACAGAGTTAACCTAATTTAGTTCCATCCTAAATTCATCTGTATCTAGTTCTTTTTCTACTAGGTTTTCTTGGTAATTCTCCCGACCAAAAATAAAAGAAGTTACAAAACAAAAGGAAACTGTGAGTTATCACCATTTCTTCACAAAATGGCTAACGATTTGAACTTTTTGGTCAATGTCGATCATACGTATATGAAACACGTATCGCCCAATTTTAATCATATCAAGATATGAGTCTGGTTCGAAGCTGTGATTTGTATCATCCATATGGTCCAATTTAAAATTATGAGATATTTTCTTACATATCCACTAGTACAAATTTTTCCCAAAAGATATTTATTAAGTGCGAAACTGCGAATTATTGTCGCCAAAAAATGGACTCCTGGACTTGGATAGTTTAATTATTGTCGTCCGTACAGTCAGAAGCTTCTATAATCACATCTAGTTGATACAAATGTCAGCGGCGGCTACGTATTCGGTACGTCATTTATACATCAATAATGGGTTATATATCCGCTTTTCTCACTTATAAATAAGGGGAAAATATGAAAAGTTATAATGAAAATTGAAAAGTTGACATATGTAAGAAAAAACTAGAGAGTTGATAGACAACACATTATAATTAAATAAAATTGGAAATGAGTAATGACATCGTTAATGATTTTAATGAAATTTCAACCTATATAAAGTTATATACTCAAGCTAAATAAATTGAAGTTTAAGTTGGTAAATTTTATTACTAGTAGTTTACAAAAAAAAATGATTATTGGCTTATTTGAAAGAGTGATCAAATATGTGTAAACAAATAAAGTCAACACAGCTACTTTTTGTGAATCGATTGATGAGAATTACATAAAAAAATGTCTGTCTATTTGTAACTTGATTAATTTTTAAAGTCAAACGTAAAGAACACATTATCCAATTATCCATATGGTTGGTCCATAATATTAATTGGAAAGTGATTAATAATTTTCTTATACGAAAAGCAAAACAACAAAAAAATCTATTTCAAAACCTTTATTATATAAAACAAGAACTCGATTACTTCTAGAGCAATTTCTATAGACCATTTTAGTCACACATGGATAGAAAGTCCCAGCCGTCCAAAGGAAAAACTTCAGATAATGTCAATTTTGAAATTTTCAAAGTTAAGATAAGAAACCCCTAAAGTGGATGTGTGTCTTTTGCAAGCATCTTTGTGGGGATTCTTATGGTTTCATACTTGGTGAAAACAATTCGAGTTTGAACTTGTTAAGGACATCTCTATATCGCATTAGAAAAAACATTATTATATAGGAACTATCTAAATTCGTGGTAGCTAGCATAGTTGTGACTTTTTTGACCAAGTTCAACGAGTTCAAAATTTCGGATTCTTAAGTTATCAGCACAACCAATAGAACTTAACTAGCTAGTAGATAGATATTATTCTTACGACATTGGTATGCAACGAACTATATAAAACTCACGTCATCTATATTATGAAATTTCTATACTTTTGCTCCGTTTGTTTTGTGTTCGGATGCAAACCACTTTTCATGTAGCTTCTGAGATGGAATGAGATGATCGATGAAATTCTTAGAGGAGCAAAAAGAGTTTGTTCTATATTCTAAAATGTTTAAAGTTATTGTTCTTGTAAAATATACTATTCTCTATAAACGTAGTCATAGATCACTGTAACAAAAATAATCTACAATGAACATGCTATGTAAAAGCCCAACAAAATCATTTACAAACAGAAGTACAAAGCCCAACATAGTCATTTACAAACAGAAGTACAAACCTTTATGTTATTGTGTCCAACACTATTCAAACGCAAGACATTGAAAATGCCACTGTTTCTAAATGCGTCTTAAGTCTTGTTTTATAGACTCCATGTCTCAAAACTAATAAAACACCAACAAAACAACTGACCAAATGATACCTCAAAAGATTTGCAGATGTCAAATATAAGTAAAATGAAAAAATTTCCTTTTTCTCTGCTTGCGCAGAGGATTTTTAAAATCTGACAAAATGATATATTATGCCTTAGAGCATCATTAATGTGGTATTCTATGAGATCTTAAAGTGTTAAAATAATAAGCAAATAATGGAATAGTAACTCAAGAAGCAGAAGTCGAGTCTTCGTGAAGAACTTTTTGGCTCGGATGTTAGACGACGTGGCAAGTGCGGAGTGGATCCTCTTGTATCATTCTCCCACATCTCCCGTTAATATATTAATTTATTACCCCTAAGCATCATCCTCCCACATCTCCCGTTAATGATGGTTTTAAATCACACTTTAAATTTCAAAGTTTTTAACCAAAATTATTATTATTGTTCATATTATAAAGGTGAAAATACTCATCTTTGATGAAAGCATGATATTATTAGATATAAAATAGTAAATATTAATATATGAAAGTAATATTTTAATTAAGAATGAAAATTTTAGAAATAACTTTTATACCACTATACAAAAGCACATTTTTTGTGAAAAAGTACAGCTACCTATAGCGTTACATTTTGTCACATATTATTTCAAATCTGTATGCAATATGTCAAATTTAGCGTTACGTTTTGGCGTGTTGTATATCAAATCTATTCCAGTCAACTAAAAACTAATCTAATTAATATTATTTTTGCCGCGTGTCACGTAGTCATATCTATGTACAGTCAGTCAAAACTTTTTATGTAAATACGCGTTACGTCTTAGGTATGTAATATATCAAATCTATTCCAGTCAACGAAATTTAAGTAAAATTAGCTTTATGTTTATCGTTTAGTACATAGAATATATATGTAGTCAACTAAAAATTAATGTAAAATGGAAAACAATTTAATTAATTTTTTATTTTAAAGGTTAGAAATTATCATCATACAAAGTACATACAGAATTTTTTTTATTATAAATAGCAAATCAGAGTTGTGAAGAAT